CCTCTGTTGTTGATGATGTTGGCCGAGGCCGTTAGCAATCAACCTATAGGCTGATTGCCGAATCAACATCCCAGATGTCTACAAGCTTGTAGGCCTAATGCAAATGTATGTTCGGGTGATAAATCTAACTTACATATATACACCATATACTATAAATAAAATACTATATTCATTAATACATATATACATAGAGGTCTCAAGTATACACATACAATACATGAACATATATAAGAAGATTACGTAATAGGGTGTGTCACAAAATGCTCAGTTGAGTTGTGCCATGTTGAGTCAATGAGTATGGCTAACCGCTTGCCGTCAAACAAGCACTTTGGGTAATTATTGGGCAAATTGGGAGGGGAGTATAATAATAGTATATCGCTTTATTGTACACCAAGTGGATATAATAATTAACATAAACATACACATTTATAAATACATAAATATCAAAATAAATGTTAAATGGTAACGGATGTTTCGGGAAGTACTTTTTTCCATTTCGGTTTCCTGTAAGGCTGTGGTATAACTCGAGCCGGTCGTAAACCATGATGATTTAGTAGACCTTCGAATATATTTGTCTTTCACTGAATATAGCATCAGGCGAGTTTTAGTACTCATAAAATCTCTTTGCGGAAGAATGATAAAATACGTTTTAAGCCCAACCCTCCGTTAAATTAAGAGAGGGAACAATCATGTCCTCTCATTATATTTTTTACAATCTTTTTGTGTTTAAAAAGTACATCCCTAATTTAATTTCTTACTCTCTGCTACATAAATTATAACTAAATTTATTGTAAGAGAACGGTAACAAAATTAAAGGTTATTGAAATACCATTATTTAACTAAGAGCAATATCAAAGCGTGTAAAGGAACTAGTTTTTATTATAGCGGTAAATATGAGGATGTGTCCTTAATCAAGAATCAAACTATCTTCGTACCAAATTTCATCTAAATCAGTTCAGCGGTTATTAAAATTTCACCCCCCTTTTCACCCCCTTAAAGGCCGATTTCTGGGATAAAAACTATCCTATGTCCTTTGCCAGGACTCGAGCTATTACTGTAACAAATTTCATCTAAACGGGTTCAGCGGTTTAAGCGTGAAGAGATAACAGAGAGTATTGTTAATGATCTGTTGAGGTCGTGGTTACTTACCTTGAAAGTCAGAAGTCGTGGCTTCGATTCCCAGTCAGGATAAACATTCACGTAATTGTAGCTTCAGACCTAAAGTCCACACTTTAAGTCTGAAGTTAAGCTAAGCTTCAGACTTAACTTTAGCTAAGCTTAGTGGGGCTTTTTATGGTATAACATTTTCTGTGTTATTGATCCTCCGCTGACCGTCTCAATTACTTTGTCAGGTATCATCCTACGCTGAAATGTCTCATCTTATTTTTCGTTTATTGAGTCATCATCGTCAACAGCCTTTAATAGTCCACTGCTGGACATAGACCTCTCTCTAGAAAGAAGGTTTTGACCGACTATGCCACGCTGGCCAGACGGCTTGGTATACGGTTTGTTTTAAGTTTTCCTTCTCCTTCAGTGTTGTTGCCCTGCGTAGTTTGCTTCCTTAGTCGGCTCTTATGACATCGATGGTATGAACAGGGATGGTGACACTCTGTATTCTTAATCCGTCACCAACCCGACAGAAAAAAATGATTTGAATTTAAATTTCAATGGGCGAATTTTTATAAAATTGTTTTAGCGTTGAAAACGCGTGTTTCAGTGAACAATCAATGATCTCAAAGCTCACATAATAATAATAAATTAAAACAATTACCGTACTCCTTAAATATTAAACACATGAAACTTCCCCACGAAACCTAACAAACTTGAAAATCTCTTTACCAAAATACCTCAATTCCTTATAACAAATAAATTTTTTGGTTGAAATTCGGGTAATTCTCAAACGTGGTTATACATTTTCAAGTGAGCCGGGGGTTCCCCTTTCCCTTGTAAATTACTAATTTTAACGATTAACTTCCAGCTTTTTGGTCGTTTTAAGAATTAATTGCCTTTTTAAGTGTACTTGTAATCAATTAGGAAACCGCATAAAAAGCCTGTAGATGATTGTTGTTTTTGTAATTAACTTTGTAAATAACTTTGTAAAAAATGTAGTAAGAATTATTTTACGGTGGGAAAGTCATACTTAGGCACAAATGGGCCGCCTCGAAAGTAGTGACACCACAGTCTCTTAGATTAGTTATTTGACATATCCATACTAATATAATAATGCCAAAGTGTGTCTGTCTGTCTGTTATCTCTTCACGCTTAAACTGCTGAACCGATTTACATAAAATTTAGGATAGAGATAGTTTGAGTCCCGGGAAAGGATATAGGATAGTTTTTATCCCAGAGTTTGTAATTAATAACGGCTGAACCGATTTGGATGAAATTAGGTATGGATATAGTTTGAGTCTTGACGAAGGACATTGGCTTTTTACCGAGACAATCGACATACATAATTATAATGTAAGCACAGCCTCTAAGAAAACCGGTGTTAAGTAATTCTTTCCTCGCTTTTTACCGGGTTCTTGAGTTAACAGAAGTAACCCCCTCACATCCTCTCCCCTAACCCTGGCGGAGGGTATATAAAGGGTTGCAATGCACTTGTACCTGTTCAGATGCAGGAGTCCATGGGCTTTGTTAGTTACTTTCCAGCAGGTGAACTGTCTGCGTATTGCGCCTTATACCATAATAGCTCTTGCCCTAAAAATATTTGTTTAAAGAAGATTCTGCCAAGTGTGTTATACGAAATAAATTTTTGAGCAACAAGATTCTGCCAGAAAGAGGGAACCCGAATTGAATATGTATGACAAGTAATTCTTTCGTAAATAAAGTAAAGTAAATTTTTCTTAATTATTAAGAAACAAATGATATTATTAACATGTTCATTTACCCTAAAATGCCCTAAAAAAAACCACTGCTTCAAACTATAACCCGGCAATCTTGTGCGCGACCGTCCCGCGGGGTGACAGACAGTGGCGGGGGCGAGGTAGCGCGTCATTCTGGCACACGGCTACACACGAAGAGAAGTGTTTCCCTTCCCCGCTACACCACCCGCTACCCGCTGACATCTTGAGTACCTCGTCCCCGCCACCGTCTGTCACCCCGCAGGACGGTCGCGCACGACGTTGATAGACTATAGTATCAGCTTGTCTAACCTAAACAAAGATCACATCTGTCAAAATCTTTACCCAAGTAATTTTATATTTTACGTATATATTTTATGGTATATTTTTTTCTATTAAAAATAAAAATATACCATTTTTATTCTATAACTAGCTGAGACCCGCGGTGTTACACGCGTTTGTTGTTATAACCGCGGGCGACGCCGCGGGGCGAAGCTAGTCTAAAAAAAAGTAGCCTAAGTTACTCCTTATGCCATCAGCTATCTGCCAGTGAAAGTCCCGTCGAAATCGGTCCAGCCGTTCCAGAGATCACCCGGAACAAACAGACAGACAAAAATTGTAAAAAATGTTATTTTGGCATATGTACCGTGTAAACATACATATTCATTTAGTAAAAAGCGGTTATTTTAATATTACAAACAGACACTCCAATTTCATTTATTTGTATAGATTGTATAGAAAACTAATCTTTAGATGAGTAAAACCGTAGGCAAAAGCTCTCTTTAAGTAAAATAAACATCAAAAGAATTTATAAGAACATTTTCTTCAACGGGTAGTTACAAATCTGCGTTATTTCCGATTCCCAGCCAATTTCCTGTTCGCGTTCACTGAAAGATTCAGTATCTACGCTGAATAATAAAACAGCCTTTAGAGAGCGTTGAGGAAAAAATCAACAAGGATGTTTTGAAAAAGGCTTTGATGCTTTTCAGAGGAAAATATTTAATAAGTAAGGTTCGGCAATAAATCAGAACAGTATAAAATTGTAATAATATAATTATCAGTAACTTTTGAAAAAGTATTCATTCATTCCTTCATTTTTACCTTTATGGGTGCTATTTTTTGTTTCAAATTTGATTGGGACTAATAAATACTTACTAAATTAGAACCAAATAGGTTTATAAACTACGGAGTTTATTTAAATGGTACACATACAGTTACATTTATCAAATAATTATGTAAAACAATATAAAAACCAATTTTAAAAGTCGATAGCCATAGATAAATTGATAAAATAAAGGAAATATTATGCAGCCATGTTATAAAAGACTTCTTGTATGTCTTTTAAAAAGAGTCCACAGATAAAAAAATGCAGTGCGTAACTAAAATGCTAATATCTTCCTTTCCCAAACAAAAATTGTTTTACACACAGAGTCTAAAAACGAATGAACGACGATGCAATTTGATACCAAATATTTTTTTGTATGTAGACCCGCCATTGTTCTTTTTGCGTGTTCGTAATAGAAACAATCAACTAGTCCCTCGACATTTTTGAGGTAACTACTATAACTTTTCCATCCCCTAGGAGGGTTGATGTCAGGTATGCGACTGAATTTACGATAAAAACTGGAAGAATAAATAATAGTAATATTTTCAGCCATCTGACTCACAACGCCATCTAGTTTCAAACTAATAAGAGCTTGTACTGTGAAAGCTAGATTGACTGATAGAACACTTTTATACCTTTTTTGTAAATACATACATATTATACATAGACAACACCCAAATTTAATATAATGGATGAGAATTAAACTCAGAAGTGATAAATAAGTCGTAAAAACTAATCTCCGAAACTAAATTAACTATCTTTTATAAAGTCTTTGTCATCATCATCATCATCATCATCAACAGTCTCTAACAGTCCACTGCTGGTTATAGACCTCTCCTCAAATAGGAGGTTTTGGCCTATTGTACCACGTTGGCCAGACGGGTTAGTATAGGGTTTGTTTCAAGTTTTTCTTCTCTTTGCAGTGCTGTTCTCCTGCGTAATTTGCTCTCTTACGGCACCCACGAGATGAATGGGGGTGGTGACGGTCCATACTCTTAATCCGTCACTATACGGACTGTTGTCATAATTAAAATTTAATTCCTTGTCAATAGAGGACGGAGGACGCTGTCTGCCGGCGTTTGCAGGAAGAAAATTCGGTGAGATATGCAACAGAGAAAACCAATGTGATAATGGACTGGTCTGCGAGGAAGTTGTACCTGGTAAGGAACCACTGTAATGAGGTCTATGTGTGAGGTTTCAGTGAATTGGTGTTATCGACAGCCAGGTGCTAGATTCATCAGCGTTACAGAAATACAATACACATGCTATTATATATAGACGATATGCTATATATAATACTCATAGTATAGGGTTACCTCCTTAATCAATTGATTTTCATATTAATTCTTAATTTTTTATCGAAGGATTCCTAATATGATCTCATGGTCTACAGGAGAAATGCACATCTGCCGTCCACCATCAGCTGGTCGCAAGCAGTACAACGAAGATTGCGAATCTTCAGGTGAATGTGATATCACGAGGGGTCTGTGCTGCATCATGCAACGTCGCCACCGTCAGAAGCCTAGGAAGGTGAGTGGTACCACTAAAACTAATTCCCTTCATGCCATTTTCTTTCCTAGATCACTAACACAACTCCTAGCAGCTTTATCTACGGCTACTCCAGAACTATGTTTTCTCAGTTCTTCTGTGCATGTTCTAACCTTCTTTGGTGAAGACTGCCTTCCACCTCCCCTTTCACCCACTTAAAGGTTGGTTTCTGGGATAAAAGTTATCCTATATCCTTACCCCTATATGCTTAATTAGTGTGTCGTTGATTGATGAGAAATTTGGAACAAAACTGACGCAAAAAATAGATCATCAACAGCCTATAACAGTCCACTGCTGGACATAAGCCTCTCCTTAGAAAGGAGGTTTTGGCCTACTATACCACGCTGGCCAGACGGGTTGGTATAGGGTTTGTGTCAAGTTTTCCTTCTCTGCAGTGCTGTTGTCCTGTGTAGTTTGTTCCCTTAGTCGGCCTGTTGGTCTAGTAGTTAGTGGATCTGACTGCTAAGCCGGAGGTCGTGGGTTCGATTCCCACCCAGGATAAATATTGTGCGATGAGCACGGTCATTTGTTCTGTCTGGGTGCAATTTTTCTAAAATATATATGTATTTAAAAAATATAGTAGTATGTTTATCAGCAGTCTGGTTACCAGAGTACAGGCTCTGCCTAGTTTGGGATCAGACGGCCGTGTGTGAGATGTGTGAGATATACTATATAAAAAAAATATTTCTAAGTATTTATTGATTCTGTTACACTTTTTGCCACAAAAGCTACCCATGTTAATTTACAATCGATTTGTCCATCCAAAGATTCATCAACACCCTTTAACAGTCCACTGCTGCACATAAGCTTCTCCTTAGAAAGGAGGTTTTGGCTCCTACGCCACGCTGGCCAGACGGGTTGGTATAGGGTTTGTGTCAAGTTTTCCTTCTATCTGCAGTGCTGTTGCCCTGCGTAGTTTTTTTCCCTTAGTTGGAAGCGAAGCGAAGGTTATCTATAAGTCATTGCTTTTTCCAAAGGTAGTCTGCAGGATTTGCGATAAGACTAAAGATAAAAATAAAAATGTTGGTGTACCATAAATTTTATTCTATTCTATTCTCAAAGTATTGTATTCGTTCGTACGCCAAGATAAATGACTTCTGTTTTACTTAAAGTATATTTTACATATCTTCATTAAAATTTATCAATATTACTTTGTCCTTTTAAGAAATATGTATATGTTTGTCAAAACTTATTCATTTGGAAATGTTTCTATTAATATAGAAATAAATTTAACAAAACGAAACTGAGCTGAGCTGTCGAAATTATTACAAAAACAAAATTGTTCACAATTTCGTTCAAGAACTTCCCTAAATGAGTATTTTATAAAGAGTCACAATAAAGTTTTCAATCCCAATTAGACTGAAGTTGATTCGCAAAGGATTTTAAACCTTATTGCCAAGTAATTTTGTGTACGCTTGAAACATTATTGGGGACTTTTTAACGAGTACCAGAGACTTGTGTCTCAATGTTGGTAATTTTATTATTGGAACGAAGTTCCTTATCGCGCGTTGTGAAAGGGGGCTAGACGGAAAAAAATCTTACGAAAATTGGTCACGACACTTTTTGCTATAGTAAGCTATTGTAAGCTGTGCGGCGTCGCATGTTTCTCTGTCTGTCTCTCTCTCTCTTATAGAAAGCAAGCTAGATATTTTCATTTCTATCTTTTTATGTCAGTCATTCAGCGCCATCTATCGAATAGATAGGAAATCATTTCTCAAGGAGATTTTACCAATGTATAAATTGTTTTATTTTATATTCGATTCTGTATTTAGAAAAGTCATCATCATCTGCCGAGCCTTTTCTCAAACTAAGTTGGGGTTATCTCTCAAACAAACAAACAAAAAATCTAAATTCACCCGTGTCGTACACGGGTGAATTTAGATTTTTTGTTTGTCACGTGGAGCAACTGCGATCAGACCTCCACAATCCAAATTCTAGGGATATCGAAGTTTTGTAGAAAGTCTGTTTTCGAACTTTTAAGGGCTCCAACTACCCCTTGGGGGGCAAGGCCAAGGCAAGGCCAGCAATCATTACTGCCATGCTGGCGCATGAGGAGGACTGCGGCGCAGTGGCCTTTGGGAATAGCAGTCCGTTACACAAACCACTACGCCATTCGGTCGTCATTGTTGCATTGTTGGGTATAGGATGGTGGCCTAATCACAACTAAAATGTGATAGGGCCGCAACATTTAGTGATAAGACCCCTGGGAAGCCTAGCTTCTCCTTTATAGTAGGGCCAATATATTAGGGTTAATAGAGGCTAGCTTGTTAGTTGCGGCGTCGATCTGGGGGACCTGAAATCACATATCTAGCCTGGGTCCTTTCTAGAGTAGGGCGCCAAAGGGATTTTCCATCCCGTTACCTAAATTTTATTATTATTAATATATTTTGTCCTCAGAGCTGTGGATATTTCAAAGAACCTCTCGTCTGCATTGGTCCAGTGGCTATTGATCAGATCCGTGAATACGTTCAGCACACCGCCGGCGAGAAACGTATTGGCAACGTCTACAAATTCCATTAAATTATCAAATTAATTCGTTCCGTAAAATGGTATTCCAATTAATAATAATTCCAATTATTTATTTACACGGCCGGATTGTTTAATTAATTTCCATTGAAAATTATTTTTTTGAAATAGTTAAAGTTTTTGTCTTTTAATAATGTTTATACCATTTTACGAAACGATAAGTAAAAATTGTTACTGTTCTATTTCACTAATAAAAATCCAAATAACAGAACACCTATGATTTGCTAACTATAAAAGCTTACTTAATAATCTAAGGTTTTTATTAGTAAAAAAGAAAAAAACATACATTTTACGAGTTCTCTACAACCGATGAATAACTCGTAAAATTGTTTTTAAGTCATGGAAAAAAGATTTTGTGATTACGCGCATTAAATTCTCACAAATATTCATTTTAATTTCTCAATTAATTAATCTCATTATTTTTTGTTTCTTTAATTTTTTTACTGAACGTAATCACAAAACCAAAATATGGATATAAAAAGATGAAAATTTCGCTTTGGAAAACGGTTAACCGATGCAGCATTTTATTTAAAAAAAGGCTTCGAAAAAAATAGAAAAAAAGATAATAGAACTAAATTGCGACATATCATTTTTATATTTTTATTTTTTGTCTAGTCTTAGTAATATCGGAAAGTAAATAAATGTTTCTATATTAAATACTTATGAATGTCGTTAAAAAAATTAGTGTCTATGATGACATTTGTCGTATCTTATCATATAAAAAAATCATTTTAATGTGTTTAATCTTTAAATAGTATGAATAGATTAAAATTAAATTAAAAATTAATTAAGTCTTCAATGAAACAAATACATATCTTACTGGCTGAGGCATTTATAACATTAGAAATTATCGATGTTACATTTAAAATTATAATTAAACATATCAATTATATTCTAGTTATAAGATAAGATAAGATAATATTTTTTAATTTCTCGCTTATATTTAGTGAAACTCTTGAAATATGCTAGGTGCCTAGGAAATACATATCAAAATGAATTAAAAAAAAACTTTTTTTTATTAATCTAGCATGTAAAATCACACTCATATATTATATTCACAGTTTTCAAATTCGTTGTTGTTTAAAAATTTAGCCTAAGGTCTGTGATCCACCTATTTTCTGAAAATATATTTTTCCGCCAAACATATATTGAAGATATAAAATATCTTTGCTGTTTTCATTTGTGGCCTAAATCAGCGTTGATGCCGTAACTGTTGATACCATGTGTTGTTAGCTATTATAAGACTTTGTTGTAAACCTCGTGTATTAAATGTGTTAACATTATATAAATTATGTCAGCAATGTCGTTTTCATTAGCTCTTTTATCAATTTTCTTTCTCTTTCTCATTTTTTAAGACAACTTTCTCTTTCTCATTTTTTATGACAACTTCCGCGCTATGTATAAGCCCGGGGAACTTTACAAACATTCATGAAACGTACACAAAGAACACCCAGACTCAGAACATCAATTTTTAGATCACACAAAGTGTTGTCTTATGCGGGGATTGAACCCACAACAATCAGGGCAGTAGGAAGTGGCGATCGCTTATATACGCCATACGTGCAATCATCTAAAGTATTTATCGTAACTAAAGTAAAATTAACAGAAACGTTATACGATATGAAGGTAAAATAAAGAATATCAACAATTTAACAATAAGAATAGATATCACATCACATCAACAGACTTTAATAGTCCACTGCTGGACATAGGCCTCTCCTTAGACGCAGAACGACCTTCGTCCTCCATAAGCGCAGACCTGGGGGTGACAGGTGAGGCCATCTGTCACCCTAGCAGAAGCAGGCCGGGGTGGCGGCGAGCGCGTTGCGAAGCGCGCTCGCTTCCAGGGAGCACAGGGAACATGGGGTTCCCACACGGGGGGGGGGGGGGGTCGTCTACTCGTCTGTAGATGACCTGAGGTATGTCGGGCCACCAGGGACTTCCTTTCTAGGGTATACCTGGTTCCCCGGCTATTAGTACCCGAGACGGCGTGCGGTTTTAGTCGGTTCGAGTCCGACATGCCACCGACAGGTGGTATCCGAGGGGATTTCCGCAAGAAAAAAAAAAAAAAAGGCCTCTCCTTAGAAAGGACGTTTTGGCCTACTATACCACGCTGGCCAGACGGGTCAGTATAGGGTTTGTGTCAAGTTTTCCTGCTTTTTGCAGTGCTGGTGTCCTGCGTTGTTTTGCGCTCTTAGTCGGCTCTTACGACACCCACGAGATGAATTGGGATAGTGACGTTCTGTATTCTTAATCCATCATTACACGGATAGTGTATCGTAGATATATTCGAGAGCAATGATTCAGTGTCACGAAAAGATACCAAAAAATCTGGGAAATTAGTTTTTTTTTGGGTTGTGTACTGCTATGGGAATCTGTTCCTCTGAATAATATTGTTACGAGCGGGCTATACTATTATAAATAAAAGTTTTTGGTTAATTACTTTATTTCACTGCATTTACAAACACTCACTATAATAAACTAGATATCACTATAAATCTTGTTAGTCGCACTAGAAATTCACTCCGATGTTAATTCGCTGTGACGTAAAACGAAACTGTCCCAAACGGCCAACACGCTCCGAGTTTATAGCGCTTTTGACTTTTACTAGAAAGGTCGATAGTCCGTTCCAGACAACAAGAATATTCCAGAGTCACACATCACACATCAACAGCCTATGATAGTCCACTGCTGGACATAGGCCTCTCCTCTGAAAGGAGGTTTTGGCCTACTACACCACGCTGGCCAGACGGGTTGGTAAAGGGTTTGTTTCAAGTTTTCCTTCTCTTGCGTAGTTTTCTCCCTTAGTCGACTTTTACGACACCCACGGGATGAATAGGGGTGGTGACATTACGTATTCTTAATCCGTCACCACGCGTTCCTTGCAGCGCCATCTAACGCTATAAGGATCAGAACTACTCGTATTAACCACAATCTTAATAGATGTACTTGAGTCGCTACTAGATGGCGCTGTCCTCCACATTCTATACAATCGAATCATTTAATCCTATGGCGCAACAATTCGCGTATCTGCAAGTGTGTTTATATGCATGTGTAAATATGTGTAGGAGGCTGTGTATGTATGAGTGATTACTTATCTACATCCCATCTACCTGTAGGTGAATAGAAGGGCAACTACAAAATCAGAGGTGTTAAAAGTTTCTGCGTATTCTAATAGTCTAAATTTTTAGGTATTTGGAAACTATTCCTTTACATCTCAATGTTGATAAAAACAAAAAAAAAACAGAAATAGAACATGTCGTTACCTACTACCTAATATTGTAAATAGTTTACCAGAACAAATCATAAATATCTCACTAATGAACCTTATTTAAAACCTTTACAAACATATTTAATGGAAAACATGAAAACCACTATTTCGTAGCTTAATTGAAAATATTGTAATGTAGTGTTGTGTGTGTATACGCACGTGTATGTGTGCATACGCACGTGTATGTGTGCATGTGCTACGTACATGTGGGTGTACATACAGCGACAAAAGCAAATATAATTTCTTTTGATAGTTTCCAAATATATATTTTTTTTTTGACCATTATGAAAAAAACCACAAACATCAGCATTTAAATAAAAACAATAAATCTATCACTAATAACTAAACAGAAGAGTATCATGTGGGCTTATTGTTTTTCAACTACCACCAACGTTTTTTCTTTAATATATTTTTAACCGACTTCAAAAACACAAAAGAGGAGGTTCTCAATTCGACTGCATTTTTTTTTGTATGTTTGTTACGCGATATTCATATCTACGTCAATGTGGACCGATTTAAAAAAATCAATTTGCAATCGAAAGGGTATACTCACACATGCACACAAACACACACGCGCGCAATGCCCGAGTTACAAAAAAATGTTAAACCATCGTCAATTTATTTATTATACTAGCTTTTAGTACATCGTTTGTAATCAAATGTAACGCTAAGCATGGCACTATCTCTGGGCATACAGGTATTCACCTAGTTCGAGAGTTTAGTCTCAGTCTGTTGTACACAAATATTTGAATAAAATATATATAATGTAGGTTGTCCCCGTATACCATAGACAACATTAACCGTCATTTCTTGCTCTCTGCTTACATTGATTTCTCCTCTTTATTAATTGCAGTGATACCAATATCCTTAACGTTGCGACTTATTATTTTTAATATTTTTGGTAGAAATAAAACACTTGGTAGATAATAAACACTAAATATATTTAAAAAACTTTATTATGAAAGTTGACAATATTAAGAAAATTAAGAGTCTAGAGCGGTATAATTAAATGGGTACTGGATAAATCTGTGTGGATCTACAATATTTTTTATTTATTTAAGTATTCACCAACAGTTATATGCAATAATTCATTACAAGAGACACACAAATTATTCGCTTGAAACTAATTGCATAACTAATAACAGATGAATACAACCTACACAACAATATCGTCTCTACAATTACACAATATTAAGTAATTAAATGGTTTAGTTACAATGATAATAATTATTATATTCACAAATTTTGTTGTTTATTTATTAATTCAGTATAATTTTTTAAGTATTAATATATTACAATACATCAAATCGAATAAAAATAATAAAAGTTAAAATACAATAAAAAAATACAATCAGTGTTTTATAAAATGTAAGTTGTAAAGCAAACACTTAATAAAAAAATAATTAGGAGCATTAGGAAGCATTAATTAGGTTAAGTGGCTAATTGGGTAAGTTCTGCGAAATTTATGAAATTTGATTTTAAAAGGGTCTATTGAATTTGTGCAATATTCATTGAAAGCTTTGCACATTTTGGGAACTGGTGAATTATATCCCAGAACTTTGCTTCTATTTGCATGCAACATCATGGCCATTGGTTTACGCGGAAGACGCTTGGAAGCGTTAAACTTCACCCTTTCGGGCGGCACTGAGCTATCCAAATGGTTGCGCAATGACTTGTAAAAAAAGTTCAGATCTTAAAGAAGAATGACAGTCTTTCTTCATAATTTTCACTAGTTTTGGTGATTCCAACGGTGAATGCCAAATGCCACATGAAACTCTTCTAAATTCTTTCAAATCTCAAAATATGAATAGAATAATGGGGTCTCCAAACTGTGGGTCGGTCAGTATTCGAGTATACTACGAACCAAAGTGTGGAATAAAAGTATCTTAGTTGGAGGCCGGCCTTCGGAACACTTTAGCATTTCTTATAACAAAACCAAGCATTTTAAAGGATGGGTCCAAGATGCGATCCCTGTGGTACACCAGAGAAGGTGGGAAAAGATTTTGACCTAAAGCCATTTACCACTACATGGGATAAGCGATTAATAAGATAAGACTGAATCCCTTCAACAAGATTGTCAGTATATCCATACACTGATAATTTCGTCGTTAGTACAGTGTAAGGTACTTTATTAAACGCATGATGACATGTTGTGAACTTCGCTGTGCCTATTTCTTAATTCTGCAGAATAAAACATCTTGCTGCATCCTTCAACTGTGCATATGTAGATATTCCGTAAATGGACATCAAACAAATGCACTTCCAAGGCATCTTTATCGCAAAAACTGTTTAAGCACAGGTAACACCGTACTCTCCTTTTTCTTATGGTGCCTTCTTCTTCTGTGCTGCTCGATTGCGTTTCCTGTAACGAGGAAGATAAAAGTTTCATTATGAGTATACTGAAGGGGATAGTCAAGCAAGAAGGGTGAGAAGTGCAAGTATTAGCACGAGGAAGTCAGGTTCGATTAACTTTGACTCTTACTGGCAATTACTATGAAGTCTGAGCTCGGAGTAATAATTTTATATCAATATAATAAATTATACCAACCGAATTAGATACATGTAGAAACTCAATATGGCAAAATGATTCAAAATACAGAAACACTTCAATAATTCCCTTGAACACTTTTAAAAGGATTAGTGATTCCATTTAGATTTTATATGAAATTACCCGTGAGTATCGCTTAAACTTGGTAAAGGTAAAACTAAAACAAGTATACGCTTTCACGTAATTGATAATGACTAATAATCTTTAACTTATTAAGGTACATACATATTAAATGTATAGATGTACATATTATTTGTATTGGAAGTAGAGAAAACTTGTGTGAAGCCCTTACCTCTGCAAGCTCTGGAATTGGTAAGAGGGCCCAGTCGTGCTCTGGAAATCGTCTATTCCATCTTCTTAAAGTCCTGGATTCTATTTTCTGTAACAAGGAATAGTAAAGTCTCATTGGGAGTGAACTGAAGGGGATTTACGATTTTCTTAATCTCGGCTTGAGCTGACACTGAGCGCCTTTCGCTTTTATGGATATTAAATAATAATCTTTATTTTATTAAGGTATATCCATGTTAGATCCTATATATTAGAAGCACTTACGAGCGTACTCTGAGTTGCAGACGTTCATGGGCGGCGATGGTCACTTTCCATCAAGTGACGCGAATGCTCGTCTGCCCCCTTTATCATAAAACAAAAGAAAAAAAAGAAGAGTAGCCTTGGGTTAAGCTCTTACCTTTGCAAGCCATAGAATTTGTTGAATAGTCAACTTGTATTCTGGTTTTAGCTTACGCCATCGTCTTGGACTTATGGATTGAATTTTCTGGAACAAGGAATATGAGTCTCATTGTGTGTGTGATCTGAAGGGGATAGCTATGTACGCAAATTGAGGGCAATGAAAGGAAATTCTGCTTTTAAGGATGGATTACAAAGTGTAAGTAATAGGTCAAGATGGTCAGGTTCGGATACCTTTGAATCTAACAGGTAATTGTTATACAGTCTGAGTTTGCAAAGTTAACGTAATATCAGTTGTGTTTATGTTATTAAACATTTGGAGCTTTTTTTAATTGACCACCCAAGATCTATTTTCAATACTACATACATCAGTTTATCAATATTACCAGAATAGGATAGTAACACCGATTATCATCCTCGTCAAAGTTGAATAACTAGTAGGTACGTGAATATAATGAAAACAAAAATACGTGTTTTGACATGAAACACAGCGATTTTATGAATACGAGTATTTCGTTTTGAGTATGTTTATTGATTTAATTGTTGTTACATTCAGTGAATCAGTGTTCTGGTGAAAGGACAAATATAAATTTATTCATAAAATTGAAAACTGCGAACCTGGATAAATAAGTGAGGTTTGTGATTTCATAACGTGCCAAATTGGATATTGGAGAGAACTCCAAAACATCAGAGAACAAATTTGTTAAAGGCAAGAAAACCTACCACCCATTTACTCGTAACTATACCTAATAATTGCAATACGTTACAAAAAGTTTAACTGAACGACAAAAAAAAATTATAGCAGTAACGTATGAAATCATTAACCCTTATTGCAAAAAAGAGAAGTTCATTAAAACGTGAACGAATTTATCTGTGCCTATGTAACTCTATAAAGCCGTATATTTAAACGGTTTGACAGATTTTCAACTTCTTTTTCTTGAAGAGGTATTTGAGTAAGGCATATTTCATTTCTTTAATTCACAATCATCTTATTAAACCACACAAATGAAAACGAAATGATTAAATAAACTAGACTTGCTTTGAGTATTAATTTTCTCTCAAAATAATGAAGTACATCTATTAACTCAATGTAGCAACATGACTCATAATACAGATACACTATAATAATGAGTTTGACCACTATTAAAAGGTATCATTAAACAATTTAGATTTTGTATGAAATTACCCGTGAGTATCGCTTAAAGGAACAAAGGGCTCAAAGAACACCCAGACTCAGAACAACAATTTGTGAATCACACAAAGTGTCGTCCCATGTGGGGATCGGACCAACAACACTCAGCGTAGTAGTGAGCGGCGTGACGACCGCTTAAACCACTACGCCATCCGTGCAGTCAACAGTCAACATTTAAAACATATTAGATCTTATATATTGGAAGTAGAGAAGTCTTCTGTGAAGTCCTTACCTCTTTCAGCGTAAGTACTCGTTGGAGGTCAACTTCGAACTCTGTAACTATCTCGCTCACTATTTCTTCACCGCTACATTGTGTATTCTGTGTACATTGTGTATTCTGTAATGAGGAAGATAAGTCTCATTGGGAGTGAACTGAAGTGGATAGCTAGGAAAGAAGGGACGGCAATGAAAGATGACGGCATGATGACGATGATGGATGATGAACCAAAGATTACTTTTAAAAGGATCCATGATACAATTTAGACTGACCAACCGAAACTCATTCGAATTTTGTAATATATCCATCATCAACAGCCTTAAAAGGATCTACTGCTGGTCATAGGCTTCTCTTTAGAAAGCAGGTTTCGGCCTACTATACCAATCTGGCCAGACGGGTCAGTATAGGGTTTGTGTCAAGTTTTCCCGGATTCCTCCCATTTAAGGAGTAGAGGGGAACACCGTGTTGTTTTGATTGGTACGATTCCAACACATCGCTCCGCGGAAAATCCCGGGTGAGTGACGGCCCGGAAGGGTTTTGCACACGTAAAAACAGGGTCAGCACACGTAAATGGTGACACTCTGTTTTCTTAATCCGTCACCACACGGAAATAAAATGGAGTTCATAAAATGTTTAAAATATTTAAAAAAACATAACAAACCTCTAAAGAATTAATATATTTCCACCGCTGAGTTAACATCTTTGTCGCTGCAGACAACTCCGCCCGATCCCAGTCACTTAAATCACTCGACTCAACGTTAGACATTACGGTGTCTATAAACAACAACAGGTATCAAGCCGCAGACTTCGTATGGTCTCCGGACACTAACACTTAAATACACTGGCTGTTAGTTGAAATAACAGAAGGTGTCACACACAAGTGTACGCTTACATCGATGTCCACGAGAAGACTAAATTAACCCTGCGAAAACTTCAAAGATGTCTCTAGTAAGGGGTGGGGATAATGGGTCTTATGTTGATTGCTGTGCAAAAACAAACAATAGGCGACGTTTACCTGAAAGTACCTGAGTTTTTAGGTTGCGTGGTATTTTATCGTTTAAAGATTATAATTCCTTTCTGTTGTTTTGAAAGAAAAGCAAAAATTGTTACTGTTGTTTAATTTGTCATTGTTCTTGTAACAAGTTCTTTAAGCACGAACAAAACCTGCCTTATCAGCGAGGTGAACATCCCTATTGTCAGTCGTAGACTCACCTTATTTTTCATTGTTTCTCTCACAATGCAGTCGACTTCAAAGATGCTGTCTTTATTCACAACCTGGGCTGTTGTTTTGAATTTTTTATGTGGATTTGTATTGTCATACTACAACCCTTTTTATCATTTTATGAGTCATTGACGCAGGTAATAGACCAATCAAATTATTGTATTGTTAATGAGTCTTAGAAGGCTGCATAGATATTTAGATGTTTGCCACATACTTCTTGGTGAAAAAAAAAGTTTTACCCTTAAAAAAATTTACATTAAACAGAAGTTGGCTAAGGTAGAATTTAAACAGGTGCACACTCTGTGTAACCAAAAAATTTTTTATATTTTAAATTAGTTCTAATCTTACCATCCCCATGTTATTTACTCGTGAGTTGTTTTTGTACGTTTATGCAAACGAAAAAAACGGACTAAAATATAAACAGAAATATTTATATTATTTTTCATAAAAATTACAGCTGCTCTAGGAATGAATGATACAGGATATATCCTGTATCATTCATTCAACATTCATTCAAACGGACACAAAGAAGAAGTTCGCAAGAGACCAATTTCTTAGCGTTCCGTGGATGGCACACATGCGACTTCAACAGCGCCTGGGCTGACTTGCGACCCATATATAGGTTTAGGGAGTAGCCCTTGCGACGCGTCAGCGCTCACCTCCACTTTCCGCTCTGTTATCCCCTATACCTAACCTTATTAATTTGATACGAGCCTAGCAATGCCGCTTTTGATATTCGTTCATGAAAAGAGCTTACTGAAGCTCTTGGCAATCCAAGGTCTTTAAGCCTGCATAAAAAAGAAATATGCACATTAATTTGTCTTTTTAAATCCTTCACCAAAACATGAATGAAATATTTGTCAAATAGCCCAAGCCTTGGGGACACCCGTCCCACGATACCACACCGCTTGTTTATCTATAATAATAAATGTATGTATTCAGAAATATTTAAGTATGTTTATCAGCAGTCTGGTTACCATAGCACAGGCTCTGCCTAGTTTGGGATCAGACGGCCGTGTGTGAGATATATACATATATTATTACATACTCGTACATATCCTCACATATAGATTGGTTGACCTCAATATCGTTACACACAGCAGCGTGTTGTCGAATACACCTAACTGCTAAGAATGGTGCTGACGCTGTTCGGTAGGTAACGGTATTAAGTTAATGCACACCGGGGGGTTGAGAGGGATCCTCGCGCCAGAGTATCCATTGTAGATCTCGAAGGGCTTGTCGATACATTTTTTCGACATCACCACATGCTATATACCTATACTGCCTGAAGCGAATAAGTATAGGAAAGAGATCCCTTTGTATGGGCGGTCCGACAAGCTGAATGTCGTTACACGACTTACCAGACGTTGTGGGGACACTGGCACTAAAAACCACACGCAGTTTTGTGGTTGTGCTGTGCTCGCGGTACACACCACAAAATAATGGTGATTTGACTGTGTGTGTGGCCTGCGGTACAATATTCGAATAAAGCTGTTTGTATATAGGGTCGCGTTGTAATCGTTATTCTAATGTGCAAAAACGACGTTCAGCCTGTTCCTAACTGGTCCCTAAAACTTGAGCAGGTTCCTTAAAAGGTAAGCTTACGATAAACCGTCCCTTAGAATCGCCTTTGTATTTTCTAAGAAATACTTTTTTCAGGCTTTGTCCTCTTCCGTGCGTAAGTCAATTTTTTCCAACGCAATGTTGTAATTATTGAGGAGAATTCTAGTTGTTCTATGACCAAGGCGGCACTTCCTTTTAATGATAATTTAAGATAATGATTTTTTTGTATATTTGAGAGATGCTGAAATTCATGAATTTGTGAGTGACATGTAGGTATCTCGGAATTCAAGCCAGTGTTCACATGAGCCGTCAAATGTAGGGGCGTCATCATCATCATCATCTCTCACATCTTCTCACTCAAGAACTCGTTTACCCCAACGGTTGTCGGTTCTGCGGCTAATATGGCCAGCCCACTGCCACTTAAGCTTGCTGATCCGGTGGGCTATGTCGGTGACCTCGGTTCTCTGCCGGATCACCTCATTCCTGATACGATCCTTTAGAGAAACGGCGAGCATAGCCCTTTCCATAGCACGTTAGCGACTTTGAACTTGTGGACCAGCCGTACCGCAAGTGACCGCGTTTCGGCTCTGTATGTCATGACGTAATTGTTGTTAATTTTACGATTAGCCGATTCTAGAACTATGACTGCTAGATATTCTGCCAACCTCCGAATTATTTATTAAACACTTCGCTTGAGCTACTATATTGTAATATGAGCTTTTAAATTGATCGCGTTGATCTAATCGCTCCTTAAGATCATTTTAATAAACCAATTCCTCTATTTGAAAGTCGTTAAACTCCTGAAAAATGCTTTCAGCAGTTTTTATGCGTAATTTTTAATCCGCCTTCTCGATGGGAGACATTCATCATCATCAGCCTATCGCAGTCAACTGCTGGACATAAGCCTCTCCCATTGCACGCCACTTAGATCGATTTTGGAATTCTCGCATCCAGCTCCTGTCAGCCATCTTGCGCAAATCGTCACTCCACCTGGCCTTGGGGCGTCCTACACTACGTTTGCCGAGACGCGGTCTCCACTCAAGAACTCGTTTTCCCCAACGGTTGTCAGTTCTGCGGCTAATATGGCCAGCCCACTGCCACTTCAGCTTGCTAATCCGGTAAGCTATGTCGGTGACCTTGGGAGACATTAAACTAGTACGTTTAAACTACATATATAATTTGAAAATCTAGTTAATCTACCCTTTGTTATACCACGTTTTCGAACAAGATTATTTTACATGGTTTCGTCGCCAAGAGCGTTTAATTTGGCAGGTGATCTGGCCCTACTCATATCAGTTGACTCCAATGTGGTCACGTTGTACCTACTAGTAAAGTGAGTTTACTTACGTTTATGATGTCTCACACACTGATAGGCACTGTAATGAAATATGGGTTAGACACACACAGAATTAGAAGGTATACAGCTAGGGTTACAGAAGGCAAGTAAGATGGATGGCCGTACAGTACAGTACAGGTAAATTAGCTTGGAGAAATTTTTGCGTTTGTAGTAGTGTATGGTAGCGGACAGCGTAAACTGGTTTATTCTGGTTTTGTGCGTGTTTCCACTTTCCACTATCAAGTGACGATTTTTTGCTTTAGATTGAAATATCTCGGAAACGGTGCGTCCTAGGCCAAAAATAACAAACATTTTGACCCCCCCGTAGACCCCCCGGAGTTTTAAAAACCTAGATGAAAGGAAAAAAAAAAAACATTTTAAATATCGGTCTCTCCTCTTTGAAGTTTCACTTCTATCGTGTGTGGATCGCACACACACCTTTTTTTTTATAAAGTCAAAACCTTTTTCTTTAAAATAAAAACTTGTTTTTATTGAAAACAAAAATCAGAGTGTTGCTAGGGATAAGTATAAAATTAAATAGTAATGTTAGGATATCGAAACATTTTTGTATAGGCCAGAACGATATAGTGGAAACGCGCTCTAAGATCTGAGTATAATATACACACCACTACATATGCAAAAATTTCTGGAGACTAATTTCACAGTACCGTATGATGATGGTGCGCATTGTTCGAGTTCCATCTAATCAAGCATCGTTTAAAGCGAATGTATGCTTGTCTATAGGACCACCAGCTGTATAAGCCCCAAGTTCGTCCACGTCAAAAGTCCACAGGTCGGAAGCCCAATAATGTTAGTATGTCCGGCTTGAAAATGAATCATATAATAATATAATAATAATAATAATAATATATTCTACCACATACACACAACGCCATCTAGTCCCAAACTAAGCAGAGCTTGTACTATGGGTACTAGACAACTGATATAAATACATATATACTTTTTTTTTGTAAATACATACATATGATACATAGAAACACCCAGACCAAATCAAACATCAAATGTTCATGCACACAAATGTTTGACCTGAGCGGGAATCGAACCCGCGACCTTTGGAATAGCATTCCGTTACACAAACCACTACGCCATCCAGTCGTCAGTATGTTTGCCTTGTTGCGAAGACTGTATATCGTGAACTCGTAAAATAAATTTAAAATACATAAGTAAGTATATTTCAAACATGTTTATATTTCAAACGGAAAGCGGACCCCGGGCGTCACCGGGCGCAACCGAGATTAATGCTAGGATGATGATTATGTTTTTTTTTTTAAATGATTAAAGTTAAATACTAACACAAATTGCAATAACAGAACACCTAGACTTAGGCAATAGACGCACAGGCAATAAAAACCTAACCTATTAAATATAATAGTATAATATGTTTATATTAGTCATAAATAATAAATCCTTTCAAAAAAAAGTTCAACCGCTTTTAAACAATACAATGACAAAGAGCACTAAAAATTAAAAAATAATTACAAATCTAAGTAAAAAAACCATAATAAGTACCCTCAATATAACAGATAACATTATAATAGCAATAGTCCCTTCTAGTCTCTTTGAAGTCTTATCTAATATTTTAAGGATTCCCGGAGAAGCCTCTTTCCCCGGGATAGGGCCTGGCTAGGCGCGGCGTCGATCCGGGGGGGATCTGAAATAACATGGTCCGGGTCCTCCCCAAGGCAGGGCGCCTGAGACCGGCTGTCGGGGTAGTTTTTAGTGGAAACACCACATAGTCCTGGCTCCTGCGTCCCCGAAGAGCCGGAGATGCGAAGGGATTTTCTAAACCCGTCAACAAAAACAAAAGTCTTTTTGAAGTCGACGACATTGGATACGCTGGCTAATGCTTACGAGATAGACCAAAATAATGTCCTACGGAATTTCATATCTAAAAAAGATCTACAAAAAAATACACCATGGTATTTGTCTATCTCCTAAGGATAACCCAGAGTAACCATTTTTATAAATAAAAAAAAATGGGTTAATTAACGTAACTAAATAACGAAGATATTTTAAACAATATTATTCCTTATCGATCGAAGTGGCGTGCAATAGGAGAAGCTTATGTCCAGCAGTGCGATAGGCTGATGATGATGATGATTCCTTATCCGCGTGATGATGTAATGATACGTTGTGCATTTAATGAAGATTAAAATTGCTCTTTACAGCATTTCATTGAAATAAACATTTTAGAAGATATTAGAGGTTTAAACTGCGGGGGCAAAGCACCGCGGCCGACAGGATTAGAGCGGGCCTATAAATATTGCATATAAAAATGTCCTGTAGTATAGTCCTATCATAATAGTAGTATTATTACTCCACACTGACACCACATTAGTAGTATTAGTAGTATCTACATTGCACCCGTGCGAAGCCTTCGGATCGCTAGTATGGTTTTAAAGATGAATATTTCGCTTTAGTAAACGGTTAACCGATGCAGCATTTTATTTAAAAAGCCTTGAAAAAAATTATTGTTATCATACATAGAAAACACCCAAAATCGCTCCGAAGTGCGTAGCGCTGCCTCCAACGCATAACTCCTGACCGATGACACATAGAACTAAATAGCAATCTCAACAAAAACATGTTTGGTTTTGTCTTAAATAAATATTTACTTTTGGTGTTAGATCTTAGAGTAACATACGATGCATTTTGAACAAGGAAAATACAAGCGTACTTATTTACAGGACATCTTCCTATGGAATAATCATCAGTCTGGGGAATAATAAAAATTATCGTTGTATTGGGAGCGATCTATTATCACAGACAGGACTATTGTTACCAAAAAGAGTGATGTTATAGTAATAGATCGAATAAGGAACCGTTGACCGAATGATTGTTGATATCGCCGTTCCTCATGACGAGAATCTCGTGAAAGAAAAAGAAAAACAAATAAAATATTTAGAATTATCCCACGAGATTGTCGATATGTGGAATTGTGGATTCGGTGATCACTGTCCCGATAGTCGTATCTGCTCACGGATTGATAGCCAAGAGCTTCGATCAAGGGTCTGATACAAAAGGCAATTCTCCTCACACAGCCCGTACAGTGTGGATGTGCCTGTCTTTAGAGCCTTTAGCACCGGTGGTTTGGGCCGCTGTACTAGGTGTCAAGTGTCTGCTTTTTTTTTAATTTTTAATGTGTATTTTTTCTTAAGTATAATTAACATATCACATCATCAAATCAACAGCCTTTAACAGTCCACTGCTGGACATAGGCCTCTCTTTAGAAAGGAGGTTTTGGACTACTATACCACGCTGGCCAGACGGGTTGGTATAGGGTTTGTGTCAAGTTTTCCTTCTCTCTGCAGTACTGTTGTTCTGCGTACAGGATACCCACGGGATGAATAGGGGTGGTGAAACTCTGTATTCTTAATCCGTCACCACGCGGATAATAATAATAATTAACATATTAGTAGGAAATTACATTTTTGAATCGTTTGGAGTCGAGACGCTTGTGTCATGGGGTCCGAGTGCTCATGCTATGTATAAACAACAAGGTAAGCAACTGATCTACAGTTCTCGTGACCAAAAGGCAGATCTACTAGCACAGAAAATTGGCAATGCCATTCAACGTGGCAATGCTGCCAGTCTTTTGGACTACTCTTTTAGGGTAGGCGATGATTAGGAGGAATTTGTTGATGTTTGTATGCACATAATGTAAATATTGTAAATATTTTAACTGCATTATAATTTGATTTAAGCGTCTCTTATTTTATCATGTTTTATAAGTGAAGTTTTTACACCTCAATGATTGATTACGTACTTAAAGTACTGTATTTTTTATGTTTTTATTTTCATATACTTACAATGTAACTACGAGTAATATGTCTATGTAAATTGATAAAGAAAATAATAAAAATTAACCTTCCACCGCAGTCTGATCCCAAACTAGACAGACTGCTGATAAACATACATATAACAGAAATATTGCAACCAGACAAAACTCAAAGAATCATGCTCATCAAACAATTATTTGTCCTGGGTGGGATCCAAACCACAACCTTTGGCTTGGCAGCCAGGATCAATAACCACTTGACAAACAAGTAAGTATATATTACAAAGGAAAATAAAACGAATGCTAAAACAGTAACAGAATTCTTTATTCATTTATTCATCCAAAAAAGATCGGAGGTGGAGGCGGAGGTGGAGGTAACGGCGGTGGATATCCATACAGCCGCGGGTACGGGTAACCCCCATACCCAAAAGGTGGAGGGGGATATGGATATCCGCCATATCCGGGATAGAATATCGGTCGTCCGAACCAATGACTTGAGATGCTCTGAAACAAACATAATTATGTAGTTTTTTATACTTAAGGGGACAGAGGATACAACGACTCATGTACTAATGGATTTTTATGGGGTTACAGCATAAGGGCCATCGATAAATTACGTCACAATCAAGGGTGACAAAGTGTGACATTGTAACGTCACATTTTAAAACCTAATACATCTGAGTATTCAAATGCGAAATTTTTATATCAACAATATCTCATTTGACATTGTTTTTGTAAATGTCTGATTTGATGTCAATTTTATAAAAATAATAATTTGAATTGCCGTAACACTAATTGATAATTATATGACGTCACACTAGGAAGGGGTAAAGTCTCACGAATGTGACTAGCTAACAGATTTCAGGTTTAGGATCATTTATTTCTCACAAAGAATAACATTGATTATTCACTTACATGAGGAAAACAAATTACTTAAGTAATTGAAACAAAATAACAACAAAACAATGTCTTACACAAATATAGTGAGCGTAACTTAAAAACATGCATTCCAAACATTTGTTCAACCACATTAGCAGTAAATACAGAGATTGAGCGTACAAACACTAGTTGTACAAACTACAATTTACTTTTACACATTTTGCACTATAAAAACTATTATCTGCTAGTTATGATGGTCAATTTAAGTATAAAATTTGATAAAACAGTCAACTTTTTACATATTTCGTTGATTATTTATTACCTATATTGTGTATCCTATTAGTCAACATTGTATATATATCCGTGGTAACGGACGGTGGCGGATTAAGAATACGGAATGTCACCACCCCTATTCATCCCATGGGTGTCGTAAGAGCCGACTAAGGGAGCAAACTACGCAGGACAACCGTACTGCAATGAGAAGGAAAACTTGAAACAAACCCTTTTTTTTTTTTTTTTTTACTTGTGGAAATCCCCTCGGACCGTCACCCCTCCGGGGTTTGCGGCGGGGTGGTGTGTCGGACTCGGACCGACTAAAACCACACGGTGTGCCACTCTGCGCCTGTAACAGGAGGGATCCGGGAACAGCTGTTGTTAAGACATCCGGACCCCTCCTAGCGCCAGCCCGCTCCTGGTGCGGGCTCCGTCTCTATGTTTTTGTTCCTCTCTTTAGGCGACGTCCGGCACACGCGGACGCCGCCCCCTCGCGGCTGGCCAAACTAATGCGGGTGGAGGGGAAACCCACCCCGTCCACCCGCGGCCACACTCAGGGCGGCATGAGGCTGTGATAGGCGGGCCTCCGCCGCCCGGTTCGCCGGCGGCGGATCGGGTCCGAGTGGAGGTCGTCCTCCCGGGCCCTCTCCGCCGCCTCCTTCCGCGAGATTACTACCTCGCAGAAGGTTGCGACCGCGGTAAAACAACTGTCGCTACCGGCCATGGAGCGTACTACGGCCGGTAGCGAGAGATCCACTCCGATGACTGCAGTGAGGGCCCGGCGCTGCGCCGCCCATGCGGGGCAGACCGCCAGCGTGTGCTGGGCCGAGTCCTCACTGCAGTCGCAGTGGTGGCAGGCGGGACTCAGTTCCCTCCTAGCGACCGTGTGCAGGTACTTTCCGAAGCAACCATGCCCGGAAAGCACCTGCGTCAGCCGGAAGGAAAGGGTCCCGTGCTGCCGCCCTGCCCACTCGGCGATGACCGGCTGGAGAGCCTCCACGGCGGCGAAGCCAGCGCGTGGAGTCTCCAGCCGGAACGACCAACGAGCCATCGTGGCTCGGCGAGCGGCTTCGCGCCACTCGCGCACATCCTCGGGCGGAGGGCGAAATCCGCTCTCCGCCCGGAAGTCAGCCACTCGCCGATAAAGTTCGGCGAGCACTTCCGCCTCCAAATCCCACGGGGGAGTTCCGGCCAACGCGCATGCCACCTCCGTCGACACGGTGCGGTAACCGCGTATGGCTCTGACCGCCATTACCCTCTGAGGGCGCCAGAGGCGTACCCTTTCTGGGCGGTCAGAGCCGCCGCCCACACCGGTGCACCGTACAGTGCCATTGACCGGACAACCCCCGTGTACAGCCGTCTTGTCGCGACGCTGGGTCCACCCATATTGGGCAAGAGTCGCCCTAGGGCAGACGCAGCGCCGACCAGCTTTGGAGCAAGCTGTCGGAAGTGCTCGTCGAAGAGCCACCTCCCGTCGAGGATCAGGCCCAGATATTTCATCTGGGCCCGAACCGGTACGAGGACCGAGTTGACCACGATGGAGGCGCCAGGGGGTGGACCACGACGGGGCCCATGAAATAACAGGGCCTCCGTCTTATCTAGGGCCACCCGTAAGCCCAGCGCCTCAATGCGCCCGACCACCAGGGAGACTCCCCCTGTGGCCAGGCGCGCCGCCTCTTGGAAGTTTGCCCCCCGGGCTGTCACCAGGGTATCGTCTGCGTAACAGATTACACCCAGCCCGGGGGGGAAATCGGCGCGAAGGGCCCAGTCGTACCCTATGTTCCACAAGAGGGGTCCAAGAACAGACCCCTGTGGAACACCGCACGACATGGGCCGACTCCTCAAATTACCTTCTCGGTCCTCGTACACGACGGTACGCTCCTCTAAGTAGTCTGCCACTAGCCGCCTCAGGTACTTTGGCACCCCATGATAGTGGAGTGCTTCCCTGATGCAGCTGAATGGCAGACTATTGAATGCGTTGGCGATGTCTAATGACACCGCCAACAGCACGCCGCCACAGCTCACTGCCTCTTCGGTCACGGCCCTCAGGCGCAACACGGCGTCGACCGTCGAACGCCCCGCCCGAAAACCAAATTGGGCGTCCGACAGATCGGGGCCCACCTCGCAGAGGTGCCGGACGATGCGGGCAGAAAGAACCCTCTCATATAATTTGCCCGCCTCGTCCAGCAGCACGATGGGCCTATAGGCCGCGACCGAATCGGCAGGCCGTCCCGGCTTCCTCAATAGGACCAGCTTCCCGCTCTTCCAGCACTCAGGGAAGCGTCCCGACGCCAAGCTAGCGTCGAACACCTCCCCGAGGCGGTCTGCCATGTGGTTGAGGGCCAGGGCCAGCACTCGGGCCGGTACCCCGTCTGGCCCAGGGGCGGTGTTCTTGGAACGGATCCGTAGAACAGCCGCCCCTACCTCCGATTCCCGGACGGGCGGAACATTATCCTCCCCGTGCTCCCCGTCGTCTCCGGCCAAGGAGGCCATCGACGGGGGAGTGTGTTCCGCCCGTTGTGGGAAAAGGCCCTCAACCACTTCTCGCAGGAAGCTGGGCTGGAGAGTCTCCGTAAGGGGGGGGCCCGACGCGCGGAGCTTTTGTCGCACCGCGCGGTAAGGGCGACCCCAGGGGTCACGATTAAGACCCTCCAGCATCTCCTGTCTTTTTTCTTCTTTGGCGCGGCTAATGGCCAGCTTCAGAGTTTTCCGCGCCCGTCGGTACTCCTCATGAAGCCGGTCCTCCTCACCGTCTCCACGGTGACGCCGCCGACTGCGCGTGTAGGACCTCCGGGCACGTGTACAGGCCGCACGGAGGTCCGCCAGCTCCTGGGACCACCAGTAGACCTCCTTCCTTGGAGGCCGACGACCTCGAACGCGGGGCATGGCCGCATCGCATACATGCGTAATCGCATCGCGAAAGCGGCCAGCCCCCACGTCGACCTCCTCGGTCGGAGCCTGAGGAGACAGCCACGAGTGAATTATGGCTGCCTCCTCTAGTAGGTCCCGGTTCAGCCTGGCAACAGCCCACCGCGGAAAGCGGGATAAACGCCGCGCCACGTGACCCCTACTGGAGTCCTGGGTCCGGGAGAGCTCAAATCGGATATACAGGTGATCCGAGAGCGTCTCAACCTCTTCCAGGACACACCAGTTCCTTACTCGTGCGGCGAGGGCAGGGGTAGCGAACGAAAGGTCCACTATCGACCCCCCCTGCTGTCGCACGCACGTGTTGGTGGAGCCTCTGTTTAGAAGACAGAGGCCCACCGAGGCCGCCCACTCCTCTACGGCCTCGCCCCTGGCGTCCGTCCTGGGGGAACCCCACGCAATGGACTTTGCGTTGAAGTCCCCCAGCACAAGGACGTGCCCAGACGCTAGTCGCCGTATCGAGGTCTCCAAGCTGGTCAGGAAAACCTCGAAGTCGTTCAAACTCCGGTTGGGGGAGAAATAGACACCATATATGGTGATCCCCCCCCACTCGACGGCAACATATCCAGTGCCCTTGTCTCTTAGCGACAAGGGCGGGGAATGAGCCGTCGTGGAACCGACGACTGCCACGGAGCCGTCCCAGTCACCCATCCAGTTTGGACGGGGAGGGACAGAATAGGGCTCCGCGACTACGGCAACACCTATCGACCACTGTGCCATGGTTTGCAGGAAGAGATCCTGCGCCGCGGCACAGTGGTTCAGGTTCGTCTGGACCAGGAGGTTGGAGACTTGATCCATTACTGGATCGTCTCTACAACCTCCTCCATGGGCGACGACGTCGACGCACGAACTATATCGGAGGCAGCCTGGGTCGACTGGCTAACCCCCGACGTCTGCCGAGAACTGCGGGGAGGCTTGCAGCCTCTCTGCCCCATCTGGTGATTGGCGGGCTTATTGCCCGCCGCACACACTGGGCAGTGAGGGGCGGCAGAGCATTCTGCCGCCTTATGCCCCGGTTGACCGCAGCGGAAACACAGTCCGCCGCAGTCAAAACAACTGTCGCACTTGACGCGCGTGTGTCCCGCGGCCAGGCATTTAAAACACCTCATCGGTCTCGCCGCCAGGACTGTGATCCTGGCGCTCACGAAACCGATGAGCAGCCTGCCGGCGTCGGCCAATACTTTGGCCGACGCTACGGGACAGCTGACCCACACGGCGCCAAGCCCTCCTGGACCGGGGCGGATGGTGCCGACCCTGACGTTGTCCGCGCTGCACCCCGTCTTCTCCCGGATTACAGCGCGGACATCTTCGGCCGTCACTGAGTCGTCCAGGCCCGAGATGCGCAGTTCCGCGCCCTTGGTAGGCCTGGCGACCCTGACACCATCTGTGGCTGCAAATATTCCCCGCAGCTTCTCAGCGAAGGAGTCCGCCGTCTTTGCGCCTTCAGCCCCAGGGAACTCGAGAACTCGAGCTCCCGTCTGGGCGAGGCGCATCCTGACCCCCACCGTCCCAAACTCGTTGGCGAGGCTGTCCCGGGCCTTTTTGAAGACGGCCGCATAGGACAGCCCGCCGTCAGCCGCCTCCGGGGACACGGTCACAACTACAGCCGCGGTTTTGGGCGGCTGCAGCTTCCGCGGCCTCTTTGCTGAGGCCGTTGCCACCGGTGGCGAAGGCTGGGCTTGGGCTGCTTTTTGGGCAGCCTTTCTGGCCCGCCTTCGGGACTTCTTGGAGCCCCTCGTCTCCTGCCAACCCTCGTTGGAGGGGGCAGGTGCGGAGGGGCCCGGCAGGGGTGTCGGAGTGGGGAGCGGAGGGAATGCCACTCCGCTCCTCGGCGCCGTTTTAGGCCCCGTCTTGGCCGGCGCCTGGGGATGTGCCTTGGCCGGCGCCTTAGCCGGTGCCTTGGCCGGCGTCTGGGCCGGTGCCTTGGCCCCCCTCCTCGGCTTTTGTGGAGCCGATGGAGTAGGGGCAGACGCCGCCGCCGCGTAAGAAACGCGGCCTCCCACAACGGGGAGCGCGGTCGGAGCGGCGGCCTTAGGCCGCTGTGCCGACGCGAGCGGGGGGCGCATACTCGGCGCAGGGGGCAGTCTCGCCTCCAGGCCAGCCAGGCGTCCGTCCAGCATATTCCCAACTGCGATGAGGATTTCTCGCAGTTGGGAGTCAAATGCCCCTGAGTTGGTGGTAGGGGCAGGCTGGGACGCGGACGGGGCTTCCCGCTCGGGGAGGTTCGCCTGGAAGCGGGCGAACTGAGCACTCAGCTCATTCACCCGCTCCGTCAGCCTCTCGTTGGCCACCTGTAGGCGCGAAACGTCGCCCACTAGGCCCTCCACGACCTCCGACAAAGCGGAGGAGGAGTCCTTAAGGGCCCTCACAAACGAGCCCTTAAGGTTCACGGACTTGGTGGCCACCTTGTGAATGACGGCCACCGCCGCTTTCGCCCTCTCCTGCACGGACACGGGAGCTTGGGGAGCATTTCCACCCACCGGCTCCCGAACCTTGAGCAGGAGATCCGCGATCTCCTCCTCCGCTACGGCCTCGCCGTCCACCCGTACATTTCTGTAGGACTCCGCGTTTGAGAACGCGGAGCCTGACGGGGTTAAGACTGTGGCCGAGGCCGGTTTGCGCGCCCTCCCTCGGCGGCTGCTTGCCACCTTTGGTGGCATCATTTCGCCGGACGTGTCGGTTTCCACGTCCCCTGAGCGTCCGCGTTTTCGGCTGTCGCTTCGCTCCGCCTCCATGGCCTCCGCGCCATCCGAGGAGACGGCGGATCCGGAACGAATACGATCCGATGCTCTTCGGCTCCCAGAGACCAGCGTTAGACTGACTTCTGGGAGCCCCATCGAGATAGGCGTTCCTGACGCTATCTCACCCTCCGTGGATGAACCATCCACTCCACTGTTCCTCTTCTCTTTTATTTCCGAGTCCGTTTTGCTTGCCTGTTTCTGTTTGTTTATTGGTTGCCGTTTCTTTAGATTTTTGGTGATATGCTCCCGGGCAGAGATCCCCCATTACCCGGGCAAGCGTAAATTTTTAACCCAACCGAGGGGTCCGCAGGTACCTCGGCTTGGAGTGCGCTCGCGACTGAACTTCCCATCAGCCATGCATCCCCTGGCCACGCACCAGAACACGGGATTCGGGGAATTTTTTAGAGAGGTTATCTTCCTCGCGGTCCGGGCGGTTAAGCCAAGACCCTCGCCCCCGATCAGAGCCGCGAGACTTAACCACAGCGCTCTTCTCGGGATTACGATATGCCGACGGTTGACAGGGAGACTACGTCCCCCTGCCTGCTCGGTGGTAGTGTGAGTACACACCGAGCCCGTCCTCCTTTCTCCACCGCTGTCAGCGGAGAAACTGTGGCCCCTACAGGGCCCCGCCATCCGGTTTTTTACCGAGGTTTCCTCCTCCATGCTCCGAAGAGCGAAGAGCCAGCAGGGCAACCGGCAGACACGCCCACCCTGCTGGACCAGGCCTTGCCCGAGAGCCGATGAACGGCTACCTCTTCTGCTAGAATATTGGCCGCTGGCGATAATCCTCTCCTCCAAGAGGACAAGGAGGGAACAGTACCATCGCCAGCGTTTCCAGGGTGCACCACGGGGAGGTTTTCTAGCTAGCACCCCAAACCCTAAAGCAACCCGTCTGGCCAGCGTGGTATAGTAGGCCAAAACCTCCTTTCTAAGGAGAGGCCTATATCCAGCAGTGGACTGTTATAGGCTGTTGATGATGATGATGATGCATACAAATATTTGCTCGAATAGCTTATAACTTAATTAGTAAAGTTGCGGAAAACAGGCCGTGTAAACCAAACCATACCATGCCAAGTTCTTAAGCAAATTTAATATTTTTTAGTGGATCTAATACAAGTGATTTTCAATTTACAAAATCATCATTTGTTAATTTTGAACAAAATGGTGACGATATAACCTCTATTCTATAACAACTTAATTATTAATAATATCTTGAGACTTACAACACAATTACATGTATATTAAAAGCGTTTTACCAACCTGTATTAAAGCCAAAAACACAAAAACTAAAACCAAAGATCTTGCTACAAAAATCATCTTAAAAGTACACTACAACTAAAATTAATAGCAAAATATCGCAACCAATCCTGCCAATTTATAGCAAAAATTACAAAGATATTTTGCAAAGTAAAAAATTACAATGTGTCTTATATTAACGCAATAAGGTTAACAATACAAGTGATTATCTGTTTTATTACGACACATAACTCTGTTTTATTGTAATAAATGTCGTATTATTTGATATAACACATATATGTGAATTCGTTTAAGGAGATCATTTGTTGTGACAATTCAAACGTCGCAATTCAAAGTAACTAGGTGTACACGGCATGCGTTACAAAGCCACGTGAAATATAAAGAAATGACGATTAAAAAAAATACATTTACATGTACCCTACCCTATTTTTTTATATTCTTTATGCACAAGTATGACTTATACAATGGCGGACAGGCATTTTCTCCCAGTCTACCTTAGGGTGGTGCTGAAATGTGTGACAAGGTAGAGACTATATGTAAATTAAAAGAAAACTATTGATAAATTAGACAGAAACAATGCGATAAATGTACCTTTTTTTTTTTTTTTTTTTTCCTTGCGGAAATCCCCTCGGACCGACTAAAACCGCACGCCGTCTCGGGTACTAAGCCGGGGACGAGTAGAGTTGAGTTAAAGTCAATTTGTTAAGAAATAGTGTTGAAAAATAGTTATTTAAATGTTGAGTATTAACTTTCTAAGTTTTTCTAGTTGAAGTAAATGAAATTGTAATAATGTTTGACTGTTGAAAAAGAAAACCTTATGAGTTTCTTGTCTGTTCTTCTCATAATGGTAATTCCTTAGCGAACAGACATAATTTCACCTACCCCCCAAACATTACTGAAATAACTATTAAAAACAAGTCTCAACTCCTTAACTGTTTTATGTTTCATTTAATCGTTATTACCTTCTTAGCTTAAATAAAGACTGTAGAGCCTTGACCTTGATATAGGTCAACGGTTTTACATTACTTTTTAAATCGAACCCAAATTCTGTTTCGATATCAGAAGTGGGAACGCCATGCGATCCCCTTTCTGCTCTGGTCTTTCGACGATTTCAGATAATCCTGACTGAAGCATTACAGCGTGCACCATGGACGGAGCCGAGTCAGATGAGCCTCCTACGTGTCCTTCGGGACCGAGCAACCTGACTCCTAGTGAGCACACTGCAAGCCCAGTATCACAACAAATTGGTAATGTACCACCTGATTTTTTCCTACACATGATGAAAATGATGCAGACCATGACCGAACGACTCCAACAACCCAATAATAAGGTTAAAATCACAGAGGTCTTCCTACCCTCATATGATCCTGATGGTAATGTTGGTGTACGTGAGTGGTGTAATCATATTTCTACGGCTAAAGATACCTATGAGCTCAGTGACTACGACATTCGCATGAAAGTGACCAGCTCGTTGAAAGGGCGTGCTAAAATATGGGCCGATAACTGGCTTGTAACTACCTCAACGTGGGAAGAGCTACGTCAAATAATTATAACAACGTTTGAGCCCGAAACACGTTACTCACGGGATATAGTCCGTTTTAGAGAGCATACCTACGACAATTCCAAAGATATTTCGGAATTTTTGACCCAGTCGTGGATTTTATGGAGACGTGTGACTAAAGATAAGCTTGACAATAGTGATGCGGTAGAAGCGGTAATAGGAACTATTAGTGACGAGCGCCTTAGAATTGAATTAATGAATGCCAGAGCTAGTTCAGTGCCCGAACTGATCTCTGTTGCTTCCACTATTAGATCTAGCAAACGTTCTAGCCAGAACAATCTGAATCCTAATCAACCATTGCATAAACGCCCTCGATTTTCAGATAGTAATAAACCCCATGCTTCTTTTTACTGTAATCATTGTAAAAGGACTGGCCATTCTTTCAGTAATTGCCGTAACAAAAATGCTGCTAATCCGAATGTGCAAACAGCCGGTGGGGTCCCTCAGTCCCACCCCTCATCAAAGCCAAATGACACGAATAATAAGTTTTGTTCATATTGTTCCAAACCAGGTCATACGTTTGACACTTGCTACCGCCGGGAAAAAGCGATAGTTCCCAACATTAATTCGGTGGCTAGCAGTCACTCTAGTTTGAATACTATGCCCATGCGTGTAGGTGACATTACGATAGATACGGTGTTTGATAGTGGGGCCGAATGTTCGGTAATGCGCGAATCCATTGCAAACAAGTTGCCAGGTCGTAGAGAACAAATAGTTAGTTACTTGCGAGGTATAGGTCCATTCCCGGTGATCTCCACGTGGAGAATAAAGACCATATGCGTCATAGATAATACTAACGTAGAAATCGTGTTCAATGTTTTGCCCGATTTTGAAATGACTTCGGATGTTCTAATCGGTGCGAATTTACTACACGATACCGGTTTAAGTGTTTTAGTGACACAGAATAGCGCGAAACTAGTACCATGCCCACGTGTCATGCATGTACGAGCCGACAGCGGTATATTTGACAATATGGATCACGATCTAAAGGAACAATCCGAGGTAGATCAATTGTTCACTTTGCTTAACCAGTACTCAGATCTCTTTACGCGCGGTTTTGCTAAGTCTCGAGTCAATACAGGTCAACTAGAAATCCGTTTAAAGAATAAAGACAAATTTGTTGAGAGAAGGCCTTATAGGTTAAGTCCAGTCGAGCGTGAAAAGGTTAAGGAAATAGTCGCTGAATTAATTAAGAACGATATTGTGCGGGAAAGTAAATCTCCATATTCGAGTCCAATTATTTTAGTTAAGAAGAAAAATGGCGACGACCGAATGTGCGTCGATTATCGGGAGTTAAATAGTAACACGGTACGCGATCACTACCCCCTACCTCTAATTGCTGATCAAATCGATCAGTTGGCTGGTGGACAGTATTACACGAGTTTAGATATGGCATCCGGATTCCATCAGATTCATATTGCCCCAGATTCAATCGAGAAAACTGCTTTTGTGACACCCGATGGTCTCTACGAATACCTAACCATGCCCTTTGGTCTCTGTAACGCGCCGTCCGTTTACCAAAGGTGCATTAATCGCGCGTTAGGTCCGCTACTGAATTCTGGCAGTGCCAATAATGGTCACAACGATAGCGTAGCCCAAGTGTACATAGATGACGTCATAAGCAAATGCCGCGACTTTTCCTCTGGTCTTTCATACTTGGAAAGAATCTTGATAGCATTGCGGCAATCTGGGTTTTCCATTAATATTGACAAATGCAGCTTTTTCAAAAAGTCTATAGAGTACCTTGGTAATATAGTAGAGAATGGTCAGGTCCGTCCCAGTCCCAAAAAAAGTCGAGGCCCTATTGAAGGCCCCTGCTCTCACCACTGTAAAACAAGTCCGCCAATTCAATGGCTTAGCGGGTTATTTTCGCCGCTTCATTCCCGATTTTGCACGAACAATGATTCCCCTGTACGATTTAACTAAGCAGGGCGCTGAATGGAAATGGAGTCGTGTTCATGAAGAGGCTCGTCAAAAGATAATTCGTTTCCTCACCACCGCGCCGATACTAACGATTTTCCAAGAAGAGAAACCAATAGAGTTGTTTACTGACGCCAGTAGTCTCGGATTTGGAGCAATACTCGTTCAAGTTATCAATGGTCGGCAACATGTAGTGGCATACTTTAGTATGCGTACAACTGATATCGAAAGTAGATATCATTCATACGAGCTCGAAACATTGGCCGTGGTCCGAGCAATTAAGCACTTTCGACACTTTCTTTACGGCCGAAAATTTAAAGTGGTCACTGATTGCAACGCGTTGAAGGCTTCGAAACACAAACAAGATCTGCTCCCGCGGATCCACAGGTGGTGGGCATATCTTCAGAATTTCCAATTTGACATAGAATACAGGAAGGGCGAGCGGATGCAGCATGCAGATTTCCTGAGCCGAAATCCAGAGGTACTGTCGGTCAATGTCATGACCAGCAACCTAGACTGGCTTATCGTAGAGCAGCGCCGCGACCCACAGTTGCGTCCCACTATAGACGCCTTGGGCACAGGAGAGGAAGTAACTGGTTATCATCTGGAAGGTAACATACTCAAATTTGAAAGGATCGATCCTATTCTAGGCCCACGAAGACTCGCTGTCGTGCCAAGGGCATTTCAATGGAGCCTGATTAACACTTTCCATAGTGCCCTACAACATGCAGGATGGGAGAAGACTCTGCACAAAATCAGAGAGTCTTATCATTTTGACAAGATGAACACCAGTGTCAGGGATTTTATCGACAATTGTGTGGTTTGCAAAACGTCGAAACAGACATCGGGAGCTAATCAGGTCCAACTACACCCCATTCCCAAACCAACAGTACCCTTCGAAGTAATATACATGGACATTACTGGGAAACTTGGTTCTCCAAACAATCAAGAGTATGTTATAGTTACAATAGACGCATACATGAAATACGTGCTACTCCGTCACACTAATGATAAAAGTCAACACAGCTCTCTTGCCGCATTGAAACAGGTCATCCATCTTTTCGGAGCGCCGCGGCAAATCATAGTAGATGGCGGGCGCTAGTTCTTGGGTGACTATAAAAGCTACTGTGACAGGTACGGTATTGAACTTCATCCAATATCACCAGGTGTTAGCAGAGCAAACGGACAAGTCGAAAGAGTCATGGCAACTCTTAAGAACGGTCTTGTAATAATAAAAAATTACGAATCCCGGACTGGCATACAGCGCTCGAGAGTCTGCAGCTCGCCATGAACTGTACGGTACTTAGAACTACTGGGACTGCGCCATTAACACTCCTCACTCGTCGCCAGAACTGCGTGCCTGCAGAGTTGCTGAACCTAGTCGACATCGACAAAGCTCTAGTCAACGCTGAAGCTTTAGAACGACATGTGCAGCAAAGAATGCTTGCGATAGCTTTAAAGGACAAGGACAGGTTCGATAGAGGGCGTGCCAAAGTCCATAACTTTCAACGAGGCGACTTTGTCCTTTGACTTGAAATTTAGCGTTCCATACGAAGTTCACAGAGTGCTCGAGAACGAC